GGGGGGGCACTAGCATGTTTCTGTTTGCATGTCTTACTTTCCCCTCCAACACACGGTTGTTAAAGTTTCGATTTCTTTCACTTTTTAAACATTTAGAACTTAACTCGAAACTAGGTCAGGTTTCATTTTTGCTTTTGGTTGGTGGTTGAACACGGCTCTAGAGATCCATGTTTTCGCCTTTTTTGTGCCCGTCTATTCGTTTTTATTTTCTATAAATATAGAGGTGTAGTGTTCATGTGCTCTCTTTTTTCAAACTCGTTTTTATATGTCCTCAACCCTTTTTAGTGTGTGGTCAGCGGAAGCTCTAGTGTGGTTTGCTCCTTTTATCTTATCAAACATTTTTTGTTCTTATCTCTCCTCCTGTGTTTGTTACTCCGAAGTTACGTATCTAATCTTCGGCATTGACATGACCTATTTATGTTGTAGGCGCTGCCAAACTTTGATTAAAACTAAACTAAAAACAACAATTTTGAACATTATTTTCTCCAGCCTCTGGGCAATGTGGGTGTGACCAAAGAGGCAGTGGCTGAGGCTGTGAGCTTCCTAGCATCGGACGCCGCCAGTTTCCTCACAGGTCTGTGTATGCCGGTGGATGGCGGCAGATCTTTCGCGGGGACATTTGGGAACAAGTCCTAGTGCTGGGGAATCTACACACCGTCGTGTCCAGACTTTGGACTCAGATAGCCGGAGACAGACTGTTTTTACACAACATTTAAAGAGACCAAATAGTGCTGAAAGATCTAAACAATAAAACAAAATTAGAATGATATTAATTTGAAGAAATTGACTTTGACTCTTGAATTAAGATTCCTATTATGCCCATTTCCCCTCTCCCCCAGCTCACTCTCACCCCGAATTTGCAAAAACAAGCCCTGAAGAAACTGCAGGTTTGTCGCTCCAAGCTTGAGAGTGCCATAGCTTAGTAAATTCTGCTGATTACGCTACTCCTACCTACGTGGTGCATAAAAAACAAAACAAAACAAAAAGTTGTGTTCTTCCAGGTTGGTTAGTGAAAAAAAGGGGGGGGGGGTGCAGGTACGAAACTAGATACCAATTTTGACTCACGGATTGGCTTGGAAAGACAAACAGCAGACGATTTCAATCATTCGAATGATGCGGTGTTCTTAATTTCATTTCTCTCCAATACCTTTCTTCATCTCAGCTAGGTGTGTTCATGGGTGTAGGGGGGGGGGGTATCATGTTTGACATAAAATAGATTGCATGTTATACGGTGCTTAACTTCGCCACATAAACTTCTCATAAAAAACTGTGCGACTGGTAGGCCCTGATCTTTGTAGACTTTCAGCTATATCGACACATTCATTGCAGAGGTGAATGGAATTCGATTTTTGTGTGTAGAAAAAGCCATTAAAACGCTATACTGTTTCAGCTTTGTTATATCCAAAGAGGTACCTTTGGTGACAACCTGCTCAAACAGAAATGACTTTGTACGGTACGCTTAAGTTTGACTTGAGAATAATAAATCATTTTTATAATCACCCTTTCGCTCTGCAGACGAAATGCCTGAAGCTCCTAAGTTATAATGTAATTGCTGCTTAATATAGTAACTAGATTAGTTGTGGTCAGGTGCGTTACAGTACAACGGGGAAGGCAGTTTGATAAGAGCTGACCTGGTCGTCAACAAGCGAGGATTCTTGTCACTTACTCTCGATAATTTGAAGTGATAACATCAGAAGCTTGCCAGGAAAAGCAAAACGTTTGATGGTCAGTACACTTTCGAAATGGAAGATAGCATATCGCAAATAGAGATGAACTAATACATTTGATTGGAGAAGGTCGTTCGTAATTCGTAAGTAGTAAGGCATCACATGAATAATAATAATATTATAATTGTTTTCCTTTAGTAAGGCTCGTTGTAAAACACATACAATGAACAATTCACAAATTTACCTTGTGCAGCTAGATCTTATTCTTCGGTTCCCTTTTGTTTGTTCTGTAAGTATGTCATGCTCTTTCTTGGCGCTAAATATGGCACTTACCGTGACAATGTGCCTCTCTTTACCCTGAATTATGTATTTTTATGGGATGCTGCTTCGCACGTATGGTAGTGGGGCTCTCTTAGAGGGGTGAACAGAATTGTTTCTAGGCCTACTGCTAGCCTGTCATATATACAGTACACGTCTGCCTGCAAAGTACAGGTTCTTCAGCCCCCGAAGGCAACGAGATTCGAGTTTTGACATCGGAGATCCTGGGCTTTCAAAACCACAGCACCTCTCACACTTACCAAACCAAGTACCCCAGTAGAAATTGTAATTGATAGTCGGTGCGGTACACGCCATGAAAACATCCGCCTATGTCGGGCTGAGGCAAACGATCGTAACCCCTATGTACTCAACACGAAAAATTGAACGTGCTGGTAGACATACTACAGAATACCGCCAAATGTATATATTTCGAAGCTGCTCTCCAAGAGAGAAAGCATACGAAAAGAAGAAAACGGAATGTTGTCTGTTCGTTTAAAAAAAGAGAGTTCAGAAATTGGTTACCAGCGCCTGTGGTGTAGTGCCGAATGGTTTTGCCTTCGTGCACAGAAGACCTGAGTTTGATTCCCGTGTGAGAGGAATTTTCAACGAGTATCAAGGGAGCTCTCATGGTCAAGACGTACAGTGCTCGCCTCTCAGTCAAAACGGTTGCAATACCGAATCCTGCCGGCCATGACCAAGTATTCTTCTCCGATTTAATATTCTCCTTTGTCTTTCTTTCCTGTTCTCTAGCCGTGTTCCAACATCTGCTTCCATCATCACTTTCCCCCCCCCCCTCCCTACCCCAAATCACTGGCCTCCTTTGACCTTCTCTCTCTGTAACTGTTAACTCGTTCTACTGCTTTACCCGGCTTCTCTTTACTGATGTCTTTCAGCTACACTTATGATCTTAAGGCAGGTAAGATCTAACACCTAGCCTTCTGGGGTAAGGATGAAAGATCTCGGTGGTCCTGGGTGCAAGTTCTGCAAGTTAAATGTCCCTTGCTGGTCCGAAAGCCGGTCAAAATTCTAAATTATTTCTTACCAAAAATGAAAACAGTCTTGTCAGACGTAGAGTGTCTTCGAAATGGGAATAAGGATGCCTGGAGGCTCGTGTCTCTACGAAGTAGTAAGACAGGTCACTTTCGTATTATCAGTTGCACTCTAGGTTGAAAAACCAGCCGTTAGCGACGTCTGAGATCTGGCACGGGAACGCAAAGAAGAAAGATCGAGTATCTGTCTTTCTGCTGGAACGTTGTATCCCTCTTAGCCCGGGTTGGTCTTGACAGGCAGCGTCGTGGCCAACCTCCCGAATGATCTAAATTGTGTCCATGGAGTCGTAAAAACACCTACATCTACTTTTTTAAACGGGCCATGCCCTGCATCCTGCTTACAGATTGGACCAAAAATGTATCCTGCAAAGATGAATTATGATAGAAGCATCCTTTGATGTTTGTTTTTTGTTTGTTTTTGTAAAGTGTTTTACGGCGCTCGCAACTGCATAAAGTCATATGAGCACGCGGGACACACCTAGTATTTTCAGTTGGTAGGAAATTTTGAATTTTGCCGGGTGGCGGCCGAAGCCTACTCTTATCGATTTTAGACCACCAAGGGATCTTTAACGTGCGCAACTTGCACACGGGCCCTCCGAGATTTTTCGCCCTTGTCCGAGAAGGCAAGGTGTAGATCTTTCGTACCAGAAGATCAGGGGTGTGGCAGAAAGACAGCAGTAAGGAGGAGCCAAGGAGTAACAGTAGAAAGGCTGCAGAAAGAGTCAGGAGCTCAGAGGAGGAGGCAAAGGAGGTGAGGGGGCGGGGGCAGAAAGTGGAAATGAAAGCAGACAACAGAACATTGCTAAAGAGCAGGAAAGGAGGTGAAAGGAGACAATTTTAGAGAAGAAAATCTTTTGGTTGCTACCCGGATTCGAACCCGGGACCTTTGAATGAGAGGCCAATACCTTAACCTTTAGGCCATGAGAGCCCCCTTTGATGTTTGAAAGGGGTTAGATACATTAGATTTGGAAACCAATAAACGTTTAGGTCCCCTTAGAACAAGAACCGGTGTGTTTTTAAGAGAAATAATATGACTGATATTCAGGATTCTCTTCTTTTAATAAAAAACAGCCATGGTAGATAATCATCCGAATGAGCAAATATCGCTAATACCTCCTGCAATCACACAGACATACACACACACACACACACACACACACACACACACACACACACACACACACACACACACATCGACTTTTCGCCATCCGCATTTGACAACTCTTAATCTTCGACACTGCACCTTTTTCAACACGGTCCTGCCTTTTTAATCACCGTCTATCTTGGACAGAGGGCATCTGGATATCGTCTTTCAAGCCGAAAGACCATACATGATGTACTTTTATTTATATATAATTTTACTGTACTCTTTATACCTGAAATAGCCTGATCTTAAAATTGTTGAATTTCCGTTGTATTTTCTACACACTTATTATGTTCGTCTGTGAAATTCAGTCCAGGAAAGATTTACGAATTTCAATGCATTGTATCTGTGTTTAGAGGCTGTCAGTGTGAGATGGACGCTTAAACTCTCACTGTGACAATAGGTCCAAAAGGATTTGGAAAAACAAAAACAAACGATGTGCTATGTGTAGCCCCTTGAATCATGGTCTACCTTGGCGTTATTGTGAGTTTTTCCTACTTTTTATTTGCAGTGTCCGAAGAAATATATGTATGACAAACATCTGGTTCGAAAGGATGAAAAACATGACGGCGTGTAACGGTTGACAGGATTTTATGGAAGTAACTGTTTAGAAAGTGCTTCATTAACACGCTATCCTTTTTCAAAACAAAAGAGAAGTTCTGGAACAAAAACAAGATAAGCATTTGGTCTAATTGATTTCTAAAAAAGTAATTTAAAAAATAATCAAGAAACAACCATTTCAAGTGAAACTGGCACAAGTTTAAAACATCAGCACGTAATTGCTGTTTTCGTCTCCCGCGCACTGACTGAGTATGCTTGAAAGGGTAAGGTATTCATTTTGGACAAGTAAGTTACATTTTCATTTTCTCTATGTTAACAGCCGAGTTATCATTTTTTACAGGAGTTACCACGACCGGCAAAAATAGTAACCTCCGTTGACTGAATCGAAGACACAACTGAGACACACAACTTATAGCCCAGACTCCAGGCAATATGGCGTCAAGGAGAAGCGAACACAATGAACAACTCAAAGGCAAAGTCTGTGTCGTGACCGGAGCCAGCTCTGGGTTAGGGGAGAGCATCGCCATCATGTTCGCCCAGAGAGGGGCATCTGTCACCTTATGTGGCCGGAATGAGGACAGGCTGCAGGCCTCCTTGACCTTGTGTGTCCAGGCCAGTGGAGGTCAAGCTGACCGCTTTTTGGCTGTGAGCGGGGACGTTGTCGACCCCTCTGCAAGGAAATCGATTGTCGAGAAGACGGTAGAGAAATTTGGACGTCTGGACGTGTTGGTGGCTAATGCTGGTGTAAACGATCCCAAAACTGGAATTTTGACTGCCAGTGAAGAAACTTTTGATAAAATCATGAACACGAATGTAAAAGCAGTGTTCTTCCTGATTCAAGAAGCGGTGCCACATCTGGCAGCGAACAAGGGCAACATTGTCGTTGTTTCATCCATGTCGTCAAGAGCAGCGAGCTCACCCAACATAGTGTATCCAATGTCAAAAGCGGCAGTTGATCACTTGACCCGATGTCTGGCCGTCGACCTTGGACCGAGAGAGATCCGGGTCAACGCTGTGAATCCTTCCCTCATTCCCACAAGAATTCGTAGGTTTGTATTTTGTCCTGGCCTGTTTTCCACGAGAAATTGTATGGTATTTTAGGGTATTTTATGTTGCAAAAATTAATCGAAACCATATTTTTGAAAGGTAGATCAGCACTATAAACCCTTAGATTTAATATAAACGAAAAAGGTAAAAAGCCACACAGATATCCCGAAAAAGGAAGAACTCGTTACCGTAGAGTTAGAATTCCAATCAAGTAAGAACCAGAGGTTTCTGAGTGGATTTTACGACGCTACATTGTCACCTTGATTTGACAGCGCATTGAAACGGTGAAACAACACTGGTGGCAAAGCTTTAAAAGAGAAATAATTGTGTCAACTACTCCATATCAATCCTTTTCCACACGAAGTATGGTAAAGCAGCTTATGAATAATTTGCATTCAGAACTTTCACACTTTGCTCTGCAACGAATTTAGTCTTTATCATGGGTTATCCGTATTATCTTTTTAAGCCCCCCCCCCCCAACCCTTTGAACCATCTCCCTCCATTTTCAGAGAATTCGCTCCCGATGAAGAATCTTTGGATAAGCACTTTGCTGAAGCGCTTGTCACAGAAATTGCAAAACAGGTCTGTGGTCTCAAGTCCACGTTTTGTATGTTGCCATTGTACCCTCCCTCTGCTTTCTGCTCCACACTAAATTGCTATGAAGTACGTCTTTATTTGTTTGTTGTGAGTATGTATGGTGACAATAATAACATTAATTACTCAAAACGACCCGCTAAGAAAGTGTAGAATATTTATATATTATTATTATTATTATTATTATTATTATTATTATTATATATATATATATATATGTGTATATATATATATATATATATATACACACACACACACATTATATATTATACATACAATATGTATATATTATTATATTCCTGTGGCGTCCAAAAGAAACTTGAAAATGTAATTGCCCAAAAATCGTTCTAAAGCCTTGTAAATTTAGAAGCATTTAAAGGCCCTTTTCGGAGCCTGCTATTAAAACCGTGTCATCTGCATACCTGATGTTATTAATATTTTCTCCATTAACTTTGAGGCTTGGACTCTTCTATGTTTCTAAGGATTGTTTCACTGTACATGTTAAAGAGGTCTGGTGACATAACATATCCTTGCCTCATTCCTCGCCTGATCTGCGCAGCGCAATCTTAAGTTGGCCGTGCAATTTTACGATCGTAAAAACGCGCAGTAAGATTTCGCAAATCGGTAAAATTGCGAGGAACATATACGAGGGTCGTTTAAAAAGTTTTGCCTCCAAGTTCTTAATTTCTTTATTACTGATGTTGCATACAAAAGGTATACACTAAATGAAAGCTTAGGATGTCTGCTAAATGACAGTGCCTTTACTTTTCGACATAGTCGCTTTCTTTGTCGAGGCAGATCCGCAAACGTTGAATAAGTTGTCGCTTGTCGTCGGCGAAATATTAATGTAGTTTTCCTCTGAACCTACGACGCACATCTCCTTGAACTTCATCGTCATCTGCAAAACGTTTTCCTTTAAGGTACTCCTTCAACTTAGGAAAGTCAGATGGAGCAATGTCTGGACTGTATGGTGGGTGCGGTAAGGTCTCTTGAAATCTGAGACTTTTCATGGCATCTTGAGTTTGTCGACTCGTGTGTGGACGGGCGTTGTCGTGGTGCAAAATTCATTTTTATCCGGGCCGAACTCGTGACAACCGTGCTCTACGTTTTCTCAGGGTATCAATATATCGTTCAGAGTTGATAGTGGAACCCTGTTTCAAAAATTCCATATGAATCAGACCATCGCAGTCACAAAACACTGTCATAAGCACTATCTTTGCAGATGCAACAACTTTGAACTTCTTTGGGGTAGGTGAGCCAATGTGCCTGTATTCTTTCGATTGTCTTTTGTTCTCTGGGTCATACTGGTGTACTCAAGTCTCGTCTCCTGTGACTATACGATGTAAGAAAGCTTCACCTTCATCAATATAACGAGCCAGGAGTTCATCACTAACTTTCAGTTTCCTTATTACTGGTTCAATTTCCGGTCGGGTGATAACATGTGGGGAACCCACCGTGCACACACTTTCCTGTAACCCAACACATCATGGATGATATACTAAGCACTCCCCACAGAAATCTCTAGCAATTCACTGACATCTTTTACTTTGATCCGCCGATTTGCTTGGATGATCTCACCCACTCTCTCCTGGTGTTGAACATCACTGGCAGAATTGGGACTACCACAATGAGCCTGGTCATGCAAATCTGTCTCTGCTGGACTGGTTTCAGCGAACTCCTTTGCCCACCTTTGAACAGTACTTACAACTACACATGCTTCACCATAGACAAGCTTCATTCGCTTGTGACTATCGATGGGTGCAGCTCCCTCTGCAGTAAAGAACTCAACAACAGCTCTTTGCTTCAAGCGCACATTCATAGGTTTGATGGACGCCGTTTTCTCGGCGACAATGTACCCTAGCTACCTCGATGTAAACAGCAAGAGCATAAAGGTGTGACATTACAGCATAATTCTGTTTTCTGGGTTTGAGAATGTACATATTGAAAGTCAATTGTGTACACATTTCATGAAGATATCTTGAATAGTTTAGAAGTTATTAGAGAGGGGGCAAACCTTTTTAAACGGCGTAAGTATTATTGTATAAAGAAATGCCCTCCCCCCATTGCCTGCTGCTTTGGCGCTGCAAACCTTGAAATTGACCTGCTTTGCGGAAATTCAAATCAGGGGTTTGGAAGTTCTAAATTATTCATATTAATATTATTTCTGAGAGAAGACTTCGGTCGCAAGTAGATCACCTGTTTAGACCGCCTGATTCTTTGGCTGGGCACAAAACATCAAGGAAAAGTTTCAGAAGGGATGATAAAAACCCTTATATTTCTAACTAACAACGTTCGAACGTTAGTCATGGGGTATGTGAAAAAAATCCAGGCTGTCTTTTTTCATCTTCTTCTTCCTTCTCAATGTGTCAGTCAATCCTGTGGTGTGCACAAACTATGCAGCTTTTGAAGATTTTCGAACGTACCATTTACTGTTCTTTCTACTCTAGCGTAGCATATTGCCACGTCTGTGCTTTTGGTCAAGCCCCCAACCTGTATTTTACAGCGGCCGACAGAATTGCTTACCATGGTTCTTTTGTATTCCTAACGGTGGTATTTTCTGTGTTAACGAGAGGGTATCCCAAGCTTAATAAAAATTGTGTCAATGTGGACGTAAACAGTCAATCAATTCCTTTAGCCTTCAGTTATAATACAATTCAGATTCAAGCCCAAACTCAAATATTCTAACTATCTTCAAACGTTTGTCGTCCCAGAACCTTTAGCAATGATGAATTAATCAGGGATAGGGAAATGGAAATGATTTTGCTACTTTTTTAGAAATGTCATGTAATGTCATCTCCTTTCTCCAATCCTTTCTTATAACACGATGTCTCTTTTTATCATCTTATATCGTATCGTCTTTTATATCGTCTTGACGATCAGTCTGTTCCTAGATTTCGAGCCATCCCATCTTATGCCATTGCATATAATATAGCATCTGATCCAATTGAGCATGCCGTCAGTTTTCTAACCCTCCCCTACAAAATAAGGTGTTAATGTTTCGCTTTGTTTCACTTTTTTTCAAACTCAACTCAAAACTTGATCAAGTTTTATCTTTGCGTATGGTGTATGTTTGGAATCACCACTAGAGGCCCTTCTTTTCCTCTTATTTTTTATCAGTCTATTCGTCTTTTTTCCCTACAATGTTGTAGGTTTACGTGCTGTCTTTACTTTCAAACTCATTTTCTACGCCTACAGCCCTTTCAAGAGGATTGTTGGCAGGTGCTCTGGTGTGGTTTGCTCATTTTTCCCCTTTCAAACATCTTATGTTCCTATATCTCCTCCTTTGCATGTTTCTCCCTCGTAGAAAGCTTAATTTTCGGCATTTATATAATATGACCTATTGGTGTTGCAAGTGCCCTAAAACGTTTACTAAAATGAAACTAAAACCGATAACAAAAATTATTTCCTTCAGCCCCTGGGCAGTGTGGGCGTGACCAAAGAGGCAGTGGCTGAGGCTGTGAGCTTCCTAGCATCGGACGCCGCCAGTTTCCTCACAGGTCTGTGTATGCCTGTGGATGGCGGCAGATCTTTCGCGGGGACTTTTGGGAACAAGTCCTAGTGCTGGAGAATCTACCTACAGAGTCATGTCCGGACTTTGGACATAGATAGCCGGAGACAGAGTGTTTTTACACAACATTTAAAGAGACCCAGAGTTGTTGAAATTACAATTAAACAGAATATTTGAATGACTTAAATTTTGGTAAATTAGCTTTGACTCTTTAATCAAGATTCCATTCCCCCCTTCGCTCTAGCGGACTCTCACCCCGACTTTACAAAAAGAAGCATTGAAAGATCTGCAAGTTTGTCGCTCCAGGCTAGAGAGTGCCAGAGCTAGGTAGATTCTGCTGAGTAGGCTACACCTCTCCTACCTACGTGGTGCATAAAAGAAACCAAAAAAACAAACAGCGAACAACAACAAAAAACAAACAAACTACTGTTTCCTCCCAAGGTAGTGAAAGGGGAAAAAGGGGAAAAAAGGGGGGGGGGGTCTGAAACGACAATTTGGAATACCAAATAGGGTGTGGGTATATGGGAGGAGGGGGGAAGGGTAATGCTATGCCGACAGCAGATAATTGGCGCGGGTACGACACTAGATACAAATGTTGTGCCGTGGGTAACCTTGGAAATACAAACAGGAGATATTTTCAGGAATCCGAGTGATGTCGTGTTTTTAATTTCATTTTTCTCCAATACTTTTCTCCATCTCCATTAGGTGTCTTGTAAAAATTGGCTTGATGGGGAGCGAGTGTATCAAGTTAGAAATAAATTAGATTGCAGTTAAACACCGCATTAACTTCTCATAAGAAGGTGAAAGATGGTTGAAAGGTGCGATTGTTATGACATGCCCTGTCCTTTAAGTCTCTGTCTTGTCGCCGTCTGCCTATTTCACACTTTCATGTTCAAGGTGACAATCATCGCATCTCATCGATGTGGCTCCCTTTATCACAGACTCATGGCAAAGGAGTGGAAAGTAGTGAGCTGATCGGCTATCTACTCTATCAATATATTCGGTTGTGTCGATTTCGAAAGTTCATAGCTAATGCATCCTCGTGATTAACCTGATTCAAGAGATTGGCTCAAACGAAAGCAAACCCTAAAGGCTGCACCATTTTTGCGATCTAAAGTAGTAAAATGAAAAGATAGAAATTAGAAATGGAATATCTCGTTATAAAGAACACATTTTCACAAAGCAATTCACGTCAATTTAATTTGAAGAAATCGGAACGATACCTCAAATTCACAAGGTTCCTGAAAACAATGTTTTTCACTAATTTTGTGTTTTGACCCATGAGTCTTATCTTTAGAACTATTACTAATCAAAGTTTAATATTTAGATGCAATTAGGACATAGTTTAGATCTATAAAATGGATAAGATTTGAATCTTTATTTTGGAAACCAGCACTTTCTGCCATTCCTTTCGAACTGTGTAGTTTAGCCAGCTCGCTGAAACCCCGCAGCCAGTGCTGAGCGGGCCACGCCCTAGATTATCTAGTAAGCGGTCGGGCATCGTGATAAAGTAGGTTATCAATCGATTCAGGTGGCATCAGGACTATGCAACAAAAACCTAGGATATCTAGATTCTAGATAAAAATGTTTCACATGATCGTCGGAAGCCGCAATTTGAAAAATGATAAACGGGGTCGGGTTACTAGTACACACACATACACTCGGTCGTGTTTTGATGACACACTGTTATGCATCTGATCGTTTTTACGCCAAACTACATTCTGTGCACATCGAGGCAAGGACCACCAGCAAACATTTAAAAAAAGTAATCATGGATGTTGATGTCAATTGGACAGAGAAATTAATAAGTGCAGTTGAAGGCAAACCTTTGCTGTACAATAAAGCTTTGAAAGATTATTCTAACAGAGATTTAAAAGTAAAAGCTTGGACTGAAGTGTGTGAATCTGTCGTTTCTGGATGGGGAGACCTGTCTGATGAAACTAGGAAACTCAAAAGAAAAGAAAATTTACATATATTTCTCTATCTTTCACTGCTTCTGTCTATATTCGTCTGTCTGTCTGTTGTCTGTCTGTCTGTCTGTCTGTCTGTCTGTCTGTCTGTC